CCCCAAAACCCCAAAACCCCAAAACCCCAAAACCCCAAAACCCCAAAACCCCTATTTTAGCAGAATAATTGATATTGTTACGAGAAGTCTTTTACTGCTTCCCTAATCTTCTTTAGGGCTAACTTTGAAGACTCCTTAATTTCAAATAATTCATTCTCAGTGATTTCTTCCTCACATTTATTAATGTTACTCTCATTAATAACATCATAATTGATTCCATACATTGAGTGGTTTCCTGGATCAGGGTTTATTCTTATAAGAGTCCTTTGACTATGAGGCTCACAGAAGACAGACTCGCTTGCCATTCTAATAGTGGGAACAGCTGTGCCAGCCCCTATCTCTATAATAGTTATTCCATCCTTGTTATTCGTGGAAAGGAAGTCTCTCAGCCGGCCTTCTTGTTTAGCTTTTCTGCTTGAGATCCACTCCCTATCTCCAAACATGAGGATATTTGGCCTAACTGGACTTGCTCAATCCTTGCATTTAGGAATATCATTACAAACAAAATTCTTAATATCTAGTTCAAATCTTTTACGGTGAGGTACAAGGTAGATGGTCCTTCATTTATCACATTGGAAATGATTGATGCTCCCATGACACTCTGTGACTTGCCTTTTGTTAAATCCTGCCTTTTGGAAATGACCATCTACATTGCTGGTATAAACATGATATTTATCACCTAAATATTCCCTACAAACCTTCAACAAGGCATGGAATCCTGAATGAGGGAGATGGTCTTGGTAAGAATTGTACCTATGACCGTAGAAAAACCAAAATTCTTTAGGCTTCATTGAGAAAAATCTGGGATTTGCTGCATCTGTAAAACTCATATTTGTATTTTTGAAGTAAGGATAAGCCTTCCAGAGACCTTCCTTCCCTCTGAAATCAGGGAGGCCTGAGTCAATTCCGATCCCTGCACCAGCAGTGACTAACATTGCTTTGTTTCTCATTATTGATTTGGCAACTCTTTGATAGAGTAACGAACTAGGGTCTGCCATATCTTTCAATAAAATTTAAAAGTTTTGGGGTTTTGGGGTTTTGGGGTTTTGGGGTTTTGGGG